CTTCGAGAACACTGTCCCAACCATCTCGTCCTCTGTTGTCCCCTTCTCCTTGTGCCCTCCATCTTTCCCAACATCAGGGTCTTTTCCAGAGAGTCTTCTCTTCTCAGGAGGTGGCCAAAGTCTTGGAGCCTCAGCTTCAGGATCTGTCCTTCCAGTGAGCACTCAGGGCTGATTTCCTTCAGAATGGAGAGGTTGGATCTTCTTGCAGTCCATGGGACTCTCCAGAGTCTCCTCCAGCACCAGAATTCAAAAGCATCCATTCTTTGGCGATCAGCCTTCTTGATGGTCCAGCTCTCACTTCCATACATCACTACTGGGAAAACCAGAGCTTTAACTATACGGACCTTTGTTGGCAAGGTGACGTCTCTACTTCTCAAGATGCTGTCTAGGCCTGTCATTGCCCTTCTCCCAAGAAGCAGGCGTCTTTTAATTTCGTGGCTGCTGTCACCATCTGCAGTGATCATGGAGAGCCCAAGAAAGTAAAATCTCTCACTGCCTCCATTTCTTCCCCTTCTATTTGCCAGGAGGTGATGGGACCAGTGGCCATGATCTTCCTTTTTTTGATGTTGAGCTTCAGACCATATTTTGCGCTCTCCTCTTTCACCCTCATTAAGAGGTTCTTTAATTCCTCCTCACTTTCTGCCATCAAGGTTGTGTCATCTGCATATCTGAGGTTGTTGATATTTCTTCCGGCAATCTTAATTCCGGCTCGGGATTCATCCAGCCCAGCCTTTCGCACGATGAATTCTGCATAAAAGTTAAATAAGCAGGGAGACAATACACAGCCTTGTCGTACTCCTTTCCCAAGTCCAGCCCCCTGCAATGCAGGAATCTCTGCTCAGTTCCCCATTGCAGGCGGCCCTCCACCTTCTGCTCAGAAACCTCCAAGGAAGGAGAGGCCGCCATCTCTCCTGGGGGTGACAGGGCCCAACAGCTCTTCGCTTTTTCCAAATGCTTAGTCGGAATCTCCTTTCTGCAGGAGGTCTTGCCATCCAAGAGGAGAGGCCATGGTGGGAAGGAGGGGCAGTGCGGCTTAATGGTTAGAGTGGCGGACTGAGACAGGGTTCGATTCGCCACTCAGCCACGAAGCTCCCTGGGTGAGCTTGAGTCAGTCACCATCTCTTCGCCTCGCCTTCCTCACAGGGTTGTTGTGCGGGTGAAATAGGGAGGAGGAGAATCCCGTCTTCCCCCTTGGGATCCTTGGAAGATGAAAGTGGTCTGTCCGTGTAATAAACAAATCCCAGGGTGCGGGTGGGTGGAAGAGGCAGCCCCCTCCAAGGGCTGAGAGTAAGGGGGAGACCCTCTCTCCACAGCCCCCTCGGCTCAAGCTACGGTTCCCCTAGTCCCCTGGCAAGGAGTCCCCTGTTCAGCCACTCTAGGAATTGTGGGAGAGGGCGCTTTCCTGTCCACTCGCCGCATCCTGAACAAACTCCGGTTCCCAGGATTCTTGGGAGGAAGCCGTAGCTCTTGAAAGGGCTCTGGTCCTGCTGGGCAGGTGCACCACGGGGTCTTATTGGGCTTTATAATACTAATACTAATAATAATAATAATAATAATAATAATAATTTAAAGGGCTCTGGTCCTGCTGGGCAGGTGCACCACGGGGTCTTATTGGCCTTTATAATAATAATAAACTATTATTTATACCCATCTGCCTGGGTTGGGCGGCTTCCAACAAAAGATTAAAAATACATTAAAACATTAGTGATTCAAAACTTCCCTAACCAGGCCTGCCTTTAGAAACAAGGATCTTAGGAATAATAGGCCCAAATAAATAGGCTGCCTTCTTCTTTCATTTGTGCATCACAAAATGGGCAGAGATCTCCGCAGCCCGGGGTCAGGATGGGGGCTCTTGGTTCGTGTGAATCGGTTTAAACCAAGCCAGGAACAAAGGGGAAAGAGGAAGGCCCCCCAAGCGCCAGGTCAGGAGCGCCTCTGGCTGGGCGGAGATGCAGCCTCCTCGAGAGTCATTTTCCTCCTCTGCCATCTGGTTGAAGGAAGAAGGAGCCTGTGATTGACAGCCCAGCCAGGCCGGAGTGGGGGTGCAGTTCCCCCGAAAGGCCACCAGGGGGCCGGGGCCTCTCTCTCTGATTGGCTGCCCAGCCAGTCAAAGGGGGCGGAGCCAGCACTTTGGGCGGGAAAAGAAAAGGAGCCGTTTCTGAGGGAGTTTTTAGTCAGGGATGATGATGATGATGATGATGATGATGATGATTTTGTCATTTCTACCCCTCTTGTCTGGCTGGGCTCCCCCAGCCACTCTGGGCAGCTTCCAGCTCATATAAAACCATAATAAAGCGTCGAGCCTGAAAAGCGAAGCTTCCCCAAAGAGGGCCTTCAAGTGAGACAGGGTTCCTTGGGAGAGAGAGAGGCAGAAAGAGGGATTGGGACCCAGGCCTGGACGGAGGGAGAAGTGGCTCTGGATGGAGCCTCTCGGAGGAGAAGCTGGTCTCTGGCCAGAGGAAGAGCCGGTGGAGCCTGTGGGGAAGGCAGGCAGGCAGGCAGGCAGATGGATAGACGGACAGGCGTCCCATGGGGGGCTGAGTCTGGGGCAGGAGAGGAGAAGCCGGGGGAAGACCCTCTGAACCAGAGCTGCCCACTTTCAGATTGGAAAAGAAGGGATCTGCAGCCTCGAAAAGAAGGGATCCGCAGCCTCGAAATGAAGGGATCCGCAGCCTCGAAAAGAAGGGATCCGCAGCCTCGAAAAGAAGGGATCCGCAGCCTCCCCTGTCCTGGGGACAGTCGACGGGAGATCTAACAATCCGGGATGGCAGCGGGAAGCGGTGCTGGAATAAGGGAATTTCCTGCAAAAAGGGGGAGGTTGACAGCTATGGTCTGACCGGGGTCTCCTTCCCGTCAGGAGGGGAGAAGGGGATCCCGAAGGAGAAGGGGATCACGAGGTCGGTGATCTTATTGGGAAAGACCTAAGAGAGTCGGGTCAAGGACGAAAAGCTCCCTTCTCTGGAGGCAAAGAATGAGGCGGCGCCCAAAGCTTTTCACGGAAATGCTTGCCATTACGGTAGCCTTTCTAGGCCTTTTAAACCATGGGTAGGAAAATGTTGCACCCGAGCCGGGACGAAAAGGAGCCAAGCGACACCAAGGGAAAGAGTTTTTATTCTGCCAACCCGGTTGGGCAGAGGAGCAAGTGTGATGAGTCACAAAACAAGCCCAAAGTTCACAGCCATTGCACATAGTTTTTATATCCCCTTCCAGTTCCCTCCCCTTTCCTCCTCCTCCTTCAAGAGTCCTGCCCATGAGTTCCTCTGAGCATGAACAGAAAGCTCCTGTCTTGGGACCATTTTTGGACTTTTCCCAGAAAGGGGGTGAGAGGGTTTCAGTGTGTTCCCGTTGTTTCCTTCTGGTGCTCTGGCCTGCTTCCCGGACAGAAAGCAAGTTGCAAGGTGGTTCTTTAGCCAGGCCAAAGGCCTGAGAAGACAAGGGACTCTGTTCTCTCCCTGGTTGCCCTCTTTTCCAGTTCCAGCAAGCGGAATGCTGAGCTAAGGCTTTTTGTCTGAGAGGAAAATGCAGTTTTTAAAATGCTAGAGGCGAGGCTCTTCAGGCCTGGCTGGGGGGGGGATTCACAGACAGTTTTAGGGCTTTTTGGGGTAACCCTAACTGTTCCCCTTCATTACTAGGGAAAGGAGCAGCAACGCCGGGAAGCATTTGGCCCCCTCTTTGCCCCCCCTCAACATCTCCCTCAAGTGGAAGAACCGATTTCGAGAGACGCTGTGCCTGTACTACTGTGTTTAGGCCTGTGACATCTTTCCGTTTAGTTGAATAATAACTTAACTTCTACCTGAAAGAATGCCTCTCCTGACCCAACTTTCTTTCAGCCTCAGACTGCAAATCACTAGGTCTTCCCTCACGCAAGACGCCCCCCCCTTCAGCATCCTGTGGCAAACGGTAGAATATTGGTGGGGCAACGATAATGAGTCTGCGACATATGAGTTGGTGCTTAGCGGTGGGCTCTGCTCCAGAGGCTCCTCAGAGATTGGGGTCCAAGTGAACCCCTCATGTCAGCACCTTGAACGGAGCCCCATTGTTGTGGGGACTCAGTGAGGAGGGGTAGAAATGCCATTAATAAAGGGAGCCCAGCCAGTCATCAGGGAGCTGCCAGATGGGTCTGGCATGACGTGTTTTCGAGAAACCCCTGCTGGGTCTTAGTAATCACAGCATCCTTTTCTCAGTCCTCACAGACTGACGGTTTAATGATCTGTTCTAGGACCTTCCCTGGTTGCCTGGTATCAACCTCAAGCTCATCGGTCAGTAGTTTTTCCTGGTTTTGAAGATGGGGGACAACATTTGCCCCCCTCCAGTCTGCAGGAGCCTCTCCTGTTCTCCAAGAATCCTCAGAGCTCTAGATGAAGGCTCTGAGATTGCATCCACAAGCTCCTTCAGTCCCTTGGATGAAAGTTTAGAGTCAGGGCTGTGGTGCAGTCCAGCCCTGGTTCCTAGCAAGACTCAGCCACGCTTGCTCAGGAAACATTTCTCTTCTCCTGACCATGTATCAGTCTGATAACAGACCAATATGTTTGCTTTGTAGGCTTTGCTAGCACCTCTAAATCGGACCATCAGAACTTGGCAGAAAACGAAAGGATTCCTTCCGATCTCTTGGAGGCTTCATGAGAGCCCAGATGGATGAGCAAGACTCAGCTGGCCCTGAAGCAGGAGGAGGCCCTGCCCTCCAAACTGGGAGCAGCGGGAGATTATGGGAAAACTCAGTGCAGAAGATCCCGGGTGAGGAGGACACCCTCTGCTCAGAGGTGCAGAGCCAGCAGTTGACGCAGTCCGGCTCTCAGGAGGCCAAAGGACCCCGAGAGGCTTGCGGCCGACTCCACCACCTTGACTGTCAGTGGCTGAAGCCAGAAAGTCATACGAAAGCTCAGATGCTGGACCTGGTGATCTTGGAGCAGTTCCTGGCTGTCCTTCCGCTGGAGATGGAGAGCTGGGTGAGGGAATGTGGAGCAGAGACCAGTTCCCAGGCTGTAGCCCTGGCCGAAGGTTTCCTCCTGAGTCAGGCAGAGGAGAGAAAGCCGGCAGAGCAGCAGGTGAGAGAGACTTTCCTCTGGAAACTCCCAAGGGGCTCCAAGCAAGACAGGGAGCCTTCCAAGATGCTCTCCTAACGGCTCACCCTCTTTGGAGAAGCAAGGCATGAGATCTGCTCCCCTAAAGTGTTTGCTCCGATCATTCCTTTTCTAATCCTTCTCCCCATTCTCTGTTTTGAACCCTTGTTACTCTTTCAGAGAAAGGATCTCTTTGCGGAAATGGGCCTAGATTCCTGTGAGGCAGAGAAGACTCCGTTGGACGCCAGAGGGAGGCCACTGGGTAAGGAGGAACTCGTCTTTCTTCTCATTCTGTGGATCTTGAAACTAATCTTTGGGTTCTGTTCATCTTTAGGGGGGGAGGCACTTGGGGCCAAGAGCCCAAAGGAGGGCAGATGTATTTTGAAGAACACAAAATTGAAATGGGTACAATGTCAAAATGCACTCAACAAGCAAGACCTTTTCCATGGCACATCTTGTCAGAGGCTTTGTGCTGTCCAGCTGGCCATAGATAAGACTCCGGGCTCCCAGCCAGTTCCAAACAATTGATTTATTTGACAAAGTTCAAACGTACATCTCCAGCATTTCCATCAACCTCCTTCCCCTTGAGCGCAGTTGCTCCCACTAAAGTTATTTCCTTCTTTTCTTTACCCAGCATGCAAACCTGCGAAGACTCCTCCCCTTACTTCCTCTGTGTACAGCATGACTTGTCCCAGGCTCACACTCCTCCTCCCCCTCTTCTTCAGACTGACTCTCTGACGACTGGCTGCTGATAATCTCTCTAGGCTCCCTGTAACTGCTGATTTCTGTCCTTTCCTCTTTCCCCGTTTGCCTCTCCCTGACATCCACCCCCTCCTCAAAGGCCCCCTCCCACTCAGGAGACCCGACTACGTCCCCTTCTCTTTCCTCAGAGGTGGTCGGGGAGAACCCCTCAAAACTACCCTCTTCCTCATCTGTCTCTTCAAACACACTCATCCAACCCTCAAGTCCGGGTGTTCCCCAGTCTACGTCTTTGTCTTCTTCTTCCTCCTCATCCGACGCTGGGAAACCTTCGAATTCCTCTTCGTCATCTGTTGTTTCGAACACCTCTTGTAAGGACCTCACCTTGCTTTTTGGTTTGTCCGGAAAGAAATTGTGGAACTCCTCTACCAGCTCATTGTTAGACATACTATCTTCCGGGACCCAGTTATTCTCTGATGCCGGGGCCCCTTCCCAAGCCACCAAATATTCCACCCTTCCCCCTCTCCAACGAGAGTCTAGTATTTCCGTGACCTCGTTGCACTGCTCCCTTTCCTCCATTTCGGGTGGTGAGCCTTCCACTCCCCCACTACCCACTCTCCTTCCCCCCTCCCTGTAGGGGAACAGCAGTGACCTATGGAACATCGGATGGATTCTCATGCTTTCCGGCAACCTGAGCTTAAACGCCACCGGATTTATTTGCTGGATAACCTCAAAGGGCCCCACCTTCCTGGGCTTGAGTTTCTTACAGCCCCCTTTCCAAGGCAATCCTTGCGTGGACAACCACACCTTGTCCCCAATCTTGATGACCTCCCCTGATCGCCGATGTTTGTCGGCTTCCTTCTTGTATAACTCCTTAGCCCTTTCCAAATTTAACTGCAGCTGTCTGTGGATCGCTTCCATTTCCTCCACAAACTGTTCGGCCGCTGGAACACTCCACGACTCCTCCCCCCTCCCGGGGAAGGCCCTTGGATGGCGCCCATGATTGGCAAAGAACGGTGTCATCCCTGTGGATACATTCTCCGCATTGTTATAAGCAAACTCTGCTAGGGCTAGTTTGTCCACCCAATCGTTCTGCTTCTGACTTACGTAACACCTCAAATACTGTTGTAAAACAGCATTCGCCCTCTCCGCTTGCCCATTGGTCTCGAGGTGTCTTGCCGTTGTAAAGCTCACTTCCACCTGGAGCAGCCCCATGAGCTTGCGCCAAAATCGTGAGGTAAATTGAGCCCCCCGGTCCGACACCACCCTTGCAGGTACCCCATGTAACCTAAACACGTGCTCTACAAAGAGCCTAGCTGTTTCCTCCGCCGCTACGGCGTGCGAACAGGGCACAAAATGGCACATTTTGGTTAAGTGATCAACCACCACCATGACCGCTGTCTTCCCCTTACATCTGGGCAGATCAGTGATAAAATCTACACCCACCACCTCCCACGGCTTCTCAGGTGTAGGCAATGGTTCCAGCAATCCCGCTGGTGCCGCCCTTTCCCCTTTGGCCCTCTGACATGTGTCACAACCTCGCACATATTCCTTTACATCCTCTCTCACCCTTGGCCACCAAAATTCCCTCGTGACCAGTAGCATGGCCTTATGCTGTCCAAAATGCCCCGCCGTACAACTGTCATGGAGTTGCTTGAGTATTCGTCCCCGAAGGTCTTCTCCTGGAACATACAAGGCCCCTTTGTGGTACAGTAACCCCCCTTTCACCTCAAAACCACCCTCGGCACCCCCTCTTCCTCTTAACTCCTCCATCTTTTGTCTGGCAAAGGCATCGTCTCTGACCATTTGCATCAGTTCGTCGTCCTTGACCAACGTCTCCCCGCATAACCATTTGCTCTCCGGGAACATCAGTCTTGCTACAGGTGGCCCTTCCCCCAACATATACTCAGGTTTCCGGGAGAGTGCATCCGCCCTCACATTCTGCTCTCCCGGCACGTATTGGATCTTGAAGTTGAAGTTGGCAAAGAACTCTGCCCACCTTATCTGTCTCTGGCACAACACCCGTGCCGTGCACCAATACTCCAAGTTTTTATGGTCAGTGCACACCAAAATTTGGTGCTTTGCCCCAACCAGGAAGTGCCGCCATTGTTTAAAAGCAGCCACGATCGAAAGCAATTCCTTATCATAGATGGTGTAGTTCTGCTCTGATTTGTTGAGCTTCCGCGAAAAGAAAGCACACGGACGCCATTCCCCTTTTCGATCTGGCTGCAGCAGCACCGCCCCTATCGCTCGATCTGATGCATCTGTTTCCACCCGTAGTGGTTGAGCCGGGTCGACGTGAATCAGCTGCTCCTCGGAAGCGAAAGCCCTCTTTAGTTTCTCAAACCCCTCTTGGGCCGCCTGCGTCCACTGAAACTTTTTCTTAACACTGAGACAGTCCGTGATTGGTGCGGTCAATTCTGCAAAATTCTTTATGAATTTCCTGTAGAAATTGCTGAAACCCAGGAAACGCTGAACATCTTTCCTGGTTTTGGGACACTCCCATTCCACCACTGCCTTCACCTTCCCCGGGTCCATAGCCAACCCCTGGTCCGACAGCCTGTACCCCAGGAATTCGACTTGCTTTGCGTGGAACTGACACTTCTCCAGCTTGACCCACAAGCGGTTCTCCTTGAGTTTGCTCAGGACTTGACGTACATCCTTCACGTGCTGTTTTTCGTCTTCCGAGAACACAAGGAGATCATCTAAAAAACAGACACAGTTCTTGTAGAGCAAGGGTCCTAACACGTGGTGCATGAAGGCTTGGAAACAGTGGCTTCCGCACTGCAAACCGGAGGACATGACTAAATACTCAAACGCCCCCATCGGGGTGAACATGGTGGTCTTCCACTCATCGCCTTCTCTTACTCTGATCAGGTTGTAAGCCCCTCGGAGATCCAGTTTGGTGAAAATCTTCCCCTTCCGCACCCGTGCCAAAACCTCGTCGATCCTCGGCACCGGGAAGGCCACCGGTTCCGCCTGGCTGTTCAAAATTCTATAGTCCACCACTAGGCTTCCTTTGGGGGGTCCAAGCCGGGGACTTTCTGTGCTGCTCCCGCCTGGCTGTTGCCCCGGTTCCCCACCAGCCAGGCCTCTTCGTTTCCCGAATGCTGGGGCTCCTCTCCCTCTGCCTGCTGGGTGGCCCCCACCATTCCCTGCCAGTTATGACGCTCTGGGCACACTCTGGCAAAGTGCCCAGTCTTCTGACACACAAAACATCTTTTTCCTGCTTGCCAGTCTTTTTTTTCCTTCCCGCCAGACCGTTGGGCTTTCAAACTCTCCCGTGCCCTGGCTGTGCCTATCTCCATAGGCTCCGGCGCTTGTTGACATTCCGAGGCAGCTGCAGGCATCTCAGGAATGCGGTCACCATGGAAACTCCGCTCTCTGCCTTGCTTCCTTTCCCGCCATCTGGCTTCTTGTCTCAAACCCCGCCCAAGAGCCGCCTTTGTTAATTCGTCCATATTTTTAGGCCGTGGCCCCCTTGCCAGCTCGTCCTTAATTTCTGGATTAAGTCCATTTTTAAATATTGCTTGTACTGGGTCCGCCTCTAAATCCCACCCCAGTTTCTGAACCAGCCTAGCAAACTCAGACCAGTAACTGCGTACGGTGGATTTGCCTTGTCTCAAAGCCAGCAGCTCCTCCTGCATTCTGTCAATTAAACTCTGATCTGCATAGATAAAATCCATTGCTTGCCAAAATTTGGCTTCATTTCTGAGGGCTTCATTCCCCGAGGCTATTAACGGCCTGATCCAGCTTCGAGCCCCTCCTCCCAGATGTCTAATGATGTGAGCAACCTTTGCTGCATTGTTCTGAAACTTATCTCCTTCCAGTTCCAGAAAATATTTCATCTCAGTCTTGAAATCCAAGTAACTTTCCGTGTCTCCCTGGAACCTTTCCACCCACACGCACCCGCCCCCATCTGCCGATAGCCCACCTTGGGTTCCTCTCTGAGCAGTACGGGCTTCCTCCAAACGGCTCTGCAGGTCTTGGGATCTTTGTTCCAGAGCGACATTTCGCTTTTTCAATTCCAACAGCTCCTTCTCCATGTCGAAGCTGTTCCCTTATTCCACCAGCTTTCCAGCAGAAAAAATAGTTGAGTGGGAGCAAGCTGTCAGAGGCTTTGTGCTGTCCAGCTGGCCATAGATAAGACTCCGGGCTCCCAGCCAGTTCCAAACAATTGTTTTTTTTTTAATATGTTTTTATTGCTTTTTTCCAGGTATCATATCAAACAACAAAAGAAAAACACACAAAAAAAGAAGAACAGAAAAAAAAACAAATAGAATCCACCTTTCAATTACATTTTCCCTTAACTTGTCGGACTTCCCCACGCCTCCCTCACTCTGCTTTCTTAACAATAAAATGTCAGCAAATTAGCATCTTGTTTCGTGTGTTATTAATACTTTCGAATAATTATCTTTTAAGTTCAAAATACTTAATATCAATTTACTTTTACTTTAATCTAAACACAATATTTGTTTTAAACTTTAGTCCTCTCTTAGTCATATCTTAATTTCCAATATAGAAAATCTTATTGCGGAAGCTTGGTTTTTCAATTTATGCAAA